GGGGGGCTGGCCGGTGGGAGAAGGAAAGCACCTGCGGGACTCTCCGCGCAAAGGGCTTTGGCAGGGCTGGAGTTCCCTGCTGGGAGTGCCGAGGCCTGAGCTGGCTACCCGCTACTGGGCTCAGCATCTCTTCTTGAGTCATACGCTGTAATAACCCTTTATCGCCCGAGGCTGGAGAGATTTGCGTGTCACGCGAGGAACTCGCTGTTGCTGCCTCCTTCTGCTCACCCCGCTCGCTGGGAGCATGCGAGAGGGTGCGGTTGCCCATCAAATCGGGCAGGGAGCCCCTCTGGCAGACTCTTGGGGGGTCTGTCGTCAGACCATAGAGCCGTTGATATCTCAGATGGCGCCTGTTCAGGCATCGAGATAAACAGGATGCGGCCGAGAGCCTTCCGGTGCGGCGCAATGAGCAATGGGCCAGTGGCCTCCAGGCCTGGGCTCGCAGGACCCTGCCCGGTGGGTACATGGACTGGGGGGTTTATAGCAGCTGTGGGGGTCGGCAGGGGAACACTGGGTGCTGTGTCTGGGAAAGCAGCTTGGATGGCTGCATGCTGCGGCCGCGGGGCTGAGCTGGCGGGAGGCCCAAGGGGCTCAAAGGTGAGGCCAGGCTTGCCTCTGCCTGTGGTTCTGGGTGGCGGGTTCAATGGGGCTCTGGATTTAAAGGAGACTTGGAGCACTTCTGGGGCAGGAAGGGCAAAAAAATAGCAGATGGTTCAGAAAGCGCAGGGTGGAGTTGGTGTGATTGTGTTGTTAATATTAAACTTGGATTTCCATAAAGAAGAGCCCACTTTTCTGCTGTTAGTTATTCTAATGCTCTGCTCAGTCCCCCCCAAAATCAGGTATTCCAGCTGTAATGGTGATTTTTCAGAAGACACCCAGGTGGGGGGTGGGGGGGGTTGGAAAGCAGAGGAGCAAGGAGAAGACAGGGTTAAAAACCTAGAAAGCTTTTCCTTGTTGGACACGGTTTGCTTCTGTAGTTAGCTTATAACTGTGGGAGGGATGCTTGGAGAGCTGGTTCACACTCCCTCTCTGGAGCCTCATGAGCAAAGTCCTCCTTGGGCTGCTGCCAGGAACTGGAGACTTTGGCGCCTGTGGTCACACACTGAGGACGCAGAAGGAGATTGATCCTGTGGTGACAAACCCAGCTTGCTGCCTCCTCCCAGGTGCCAGGTCACCCAAGCATGGCCACCCAGATGTTCGAGGGGAGAGGGCACGCAGCCATCTACCAGAAATACAGGTTTGCACCAGGCAACGAGCTGCAGCAAACCATCCTCACCTACCTGCAGGAAAAGGTAAGTGGGATATAGTCAGGATGTAGGAAAAAGCAAGGTAGTAGTATTTGTGGGTAGTAATATTTACCCTGCTGGGAGCGTTGCCTTGGTTGGTGCCACGGGAAAGAATAAATCAGTCGGGCTCGGGGCAAGATGTGGGCACAGAGGAGCCTTTCCACAGGTTGTGTCATGCCAAGGCCGTTCCCATGTGGCCCCTGGGGGAAGGAATGGGGTAAAAGCACAGGAATCGGGTGGCTGCCCATTGAGACGCGTCTGCTTTTCCCTGCAGAGGGTAAACCCTCCTGAGCTGGTGGTGGATGTTGGCTGTGGGTCTGGACAAGGCACCCGCTTTCTTGCGGGGCACTTCAAGAAGGTGGTGGGAACAGACATCAGTGAAGCACAGATCCAGGAGGCCAAGGATGCACCCTCCCCACCCAGCGTCTCCTACCTGTGAGTGTCGGGGGAGCAAGCTCAGCTGAAGGCAAAATTCGTGTCCTCACACAGAGGTGGTGTTTTGTGAGTATAACTGCTGTAAGAGCCAGCCAGCACCAAAGAAAAATCCCAGTTTGATGGGATTCCTGGTGTGGATGAGTGTTATCCTAGATTCACAGTAGCCATGGTCTTGCACCCCAAATTGTCATCATCAGCTCCAAAAAATGCCCACCAACTTCGTGTCCTACTCCATAATTCCCTTACTGCTTTTTTTCCTTCCCCCTTCCAGCGTGTGCCCTGCAGAGGAGCTGCCATTCGAGGATGCCTCAGTGGACGTCCTGACTTCGTTTACAGCCGCGCACTGGTTTGATATCGAGAAGTTCATGAGAGAAGCAACCCGGGTGATTAAGCCGGGTGGTTGCGTGGTCATCAGCACCTACACTGCAGACATGAGTCTGCACTATGGAAACTGCTCTGAACAGCTGACCAAAATCTTCGGGGAGGTGAGGTGAAGAAAGCTAAACCCCAGGGCTTCCTTTCCTGGTCTGGGCAGGGGAAAATGGGTAGTGCTCAGATGAATAGAGGAAAGCAGTGGGCTTGGGGGGTACAACTAGAGGACTCCTATTATGGGATGGGGCAGAGGTGTGGTTAAATAAAGGACAAGGTCAAGATGGAGTGTTAGTGGTTTCAATGCAGTCCTGGGGCTGGCTGGATGAGAAGAGGGACATTAGGACTAATAGGGCAGACTTTGGTGTAGTGTGAAGGACTGCGGAGCAGATTTGGAGGGCTGGTATCATCAAAGGGACTTCTGTCACCCTGATTGTGGTGGAAAGAATGGGAAACAGAAACTGTTTGGAAAGAGGTAGTGATTTTTCTCGACAAAGTATTTTTAACAACTCATAGTGGACAGTCTCCTTTTAGTAACAGCAGTGTAGAGAGGAAGATAGGACTCTTACCTCTATAGTAAAAAAGGATCTTTGAATCCTTGACACCGAGCAAGATTTTGGTGAATTTTAATGCAAGGAGTACTTAAAAGAAAAAAAACGTACATGTATGATTGCATCATATCTAGGGCCAAGCAAGCCTGAGTTAAGTAGAAACTGAGATCTTCAAGTGGTTTTGTGTTTGTTTTTTGATCTGCTGTCTTTATAGGCCTGGGACGTGCTTTTAAAATACTCACATAATAGAATAAAAATTGTCTTGGAAGACTACAAAGAGATCTTTGAGGCCTTGCCGTTCCCAGACAAGAAAAGGTGAGCAGAAACTCCTTGGCACAGAGCCAGGAGTGGATAGAGGTGGCATCTCCGCTCCTCTGCAGGGCTGCTCTGCCACCGGCCCAGTGAGGACACAAGGGAGCCGGGTTTGCCAGCACAAGTACCTGCTGGGTTTCAGGAAATGCCTTTGCATCGTGGCAGAGCCATGTGTCTCCAGGGCTGCTCCAATGATTTAATGTGGCTCTATGCTGGGCCAGCAAGTGTGCGTGGTCTAAGGGCTGCAAGGACCCTTTCTACCCAAGGCAGAATTGGGTTAGATTGTTTTTAGTTGGTGGTTTATGATAGTTTGAGGCTTCTGGGAAGATCACTTAATGGGTGAAAGGGAAAAATAGAGTGAGAGAAAGAACTTGCCCCAGACGTCTGGGGAGCCAGTGCCTGCCTGCCCACCAAGGCATGGGACAGGGGCTGACTCTGCAGGCAAAAGGGATGCATTGGCAGTTGTGCTGCAGAGGTGTTGGTGTCCTGGCTGCCGGAGGGAACAGGCTCTGCAGGTAGTCCTTTTGGGCAGTTCAAATCCCTGGGACCATCTCTGCTTTTCCAGGAGTGCATCAGTTAGAGCTCCTGACCCACCAAATGCCATAATTGGATGATATTTCCATCTCTTAGACCTTTGATAACAATGAGGTATTTTATTTGCCACCACCTCCATCTGCTGTTGTCTTTGTTCCACTGCCTTTGAAATTTAACTTGCCAATGCTCCTATCTTCCCCATCTCCCTTCCAGAATCACTGATATCTTTGACAAAATTCCCATGACGGTTGCTGGTGTGGTTGGTTACCTGGAGTCTGTCTCTCCGTATCAATCCTTTATGAAGAATGACCCCGAAGCTGCAAAATCCCTCCTCCAAGAGACTGAAAAGAGGTAAGAAAACCACTTGGGAAAACAAGCAGGATGTGGAAGACCCCTCTGATACAGTGAATGAAGAGTGAGGTTGCGGGGACTCCTTCAAAGCCAGAAGTGAGCTGTGCAGCAGTGCGCTTCCTCCTTACCCCAGGTGTGGATGGGTACTTGT